AATGGTCACTATAAAACTCCTTTAGTGCAGAAAAATCTGGCAAATGCCATATTTATTGGCCTGGTACATTTGGGGAATTCATAAAATATAATAACACAATTGCCATGATTTTTGATGTTCACCAATTCTTTACCCACCTCCCCCACTGAGATTTAATAAAACATTGGTTTAACTGTGTACCATTTGTTAAATTTTTAGACAAATATACCACTTTGTTTTTTTTTATATATTTTTATTTTTTTGTGCCTTTTTCTTATTTGGGTGGATGTATGTTGCTAGTTTCTTAAGTTTTTATGTGTATATATTTCATATGCTATAAACCCATTTGACAATAAAGCAATGATTAACTGGGACTTTACTTTCAACACCTCTCGGATCCAACCTTCCTTTCTACCTCAGTTGCTCACGTTTCACTTGGATTGTCTCCTGACTCGGTGACCCTCTTTTTACTCTCAGTTCCCACTGCCAACCTACACTCACTCATATAATTTTCTTTCTTAAAACCATGTGATAAATAATTTCTAATCATGTCACAATAAAGTCCGAGTTCCTTAGCCTGTATACAATTAAGATTCATGTGTCTCATAAATACTCAATAGTAGCAAGACTCTAATCAGAAACCAGTTAGCATAATCATGGACAACCATGAGAAATGCTATTCTAAATAGTCCAGCTGTCTTCCAGTTTGTCACTAGTCAAACAAAATATTCACTTTAAAATTCATTTACTATGGTACATGAGTTTTCTCAAATGCCCTCTCTGATATATGCATATGTAATATAAGGATTCATTTTATAAATAAAGCACAAATATGGAGTGTGATTCTAAGTTGATTTCAAGTGAAGGTATAACATGATGGTGACTTAATTGTGGCTTAAATCAATACTAAGTATTTTTAAAAATATATATTTAAAGTGGAAGGTGCTATTTATCATAATTAATAACCAAAATTACGTTAGTGGCAGTCAGCGTACATCAACATGACATACAAGTAATCTAAAAGGAAACAGGAAATACGTAAAATTTATCGGGTATATTTATAAAGGCTGCTATTACACAAAAAACAATGGTTTAATTGCACTTTCTGTTATTTATCTAGTTGGATGGAAAGTGAGACAGATGGAGAAATGGTGATAGCAGGATTCAGAAGTCTTTGATTTTATTTGTATACTCCAGTTCTTAAAATTTATATCTTTTTTGTATGGCCACCTTGTCATCAGAAAAGAAAATTTTTATCTGAGTCCCTATTTTTAGTTTTTCATTGTTAGCATTACGTTTTAGTTTAATTGGAGCTTTTATATGTCCTTTTGAGGAACAGCAGTCAGTTCTGATTTTAGAACACAGACGCTAAATGAAACACCCAGCAACTTAAACTTACTTTGAAGGTCAAACCAAATTCAAACTACTTATTTATAATTTTTAAGATAATTGTAGAAAAACATCTAGATCTCCCAGATATCTGTGATTCAGGTGGATGGAAGATGGCAGATGGTGAGGAGAGAGGCCCCCTTTATTTATTCAGTGTGTAATCATCGCTGGAATATAAAATATATGCATGGAGCTTATTAACCAAAATCCTTCTGTGGACATATGCCACTTTGTATAAATACATGTACATGTAAAGATAACTATAAAAAGCTGTTACATACTCATTGTTTGTGTGGATTTCTGGTCTATTGTCATTTTTTGACAGAGCCAAACACTTAACAATAATTTTACCTTTTTATCATATTTTAGAAGGCTTGTATCAAATCTGCAACCTTTGAAAGTGGTAAACATATGAAACAATTGTGATAGGAAAAATATTTAAGATATGTTTTTTGTGTCAGGCAAAAGAATCAGTAGTAAGCCAATTTAACATGTCACTGAGCGGTTTATTAGACCTCTGGGGAAAACGATTTGATTTTACTTGCTTCTTACTAGCTCAGCCTCTGTCTTGTGATCCCTGATCTGGCCCTGAAATTTCTAATTCAGCCAAGTTCTGACTCCCCAAATGTCTTTAAGTGTGGAAATGAGTAATAAAACTTTGGTTTTTAAAGTTTAGAGCATTAGCAATATTGAGACGTTTGAATGACCTTTTTCAAATAGGTTTATACTTGTATAGTGTAGCTCATGTAATACTAAAGCCATGAAAAATGCTGTTCTTGTTCTTAAAATAATTGTGAACAGGCATTTAACCATTAGTTCCAGCCTGTCCCTCTCTTCTTTTTTGAAACAGTCATATTAGTTATTTTTATTTAAAGGTATATATCTACTTAGCAGGTACCCTGTTACTAAATTACACACCTTTGAATTTCACCAAACCCATTTGTATCTTTTTTGACTATAGAGACAGAAAAATAATGAACAGAGTAGTCATGATATTAATGCCTAACCATTTACTTTCCATACTGCTATTTATTGGACATATACTTCTAAGATCTTAAGATTAGTTGTTTTTTGGGTTGGTTTTTTTTTTTTCTACCGTTTGAGCAGCTCTTGAGAACTGTTTTTTAAATCATTGGTTCAGTTATACCTTAAAGAAGAAAATTAATATTAACCGTTAGTTTACATGGGAGTTTTGATTTGTAGTCAGCCCTCCATATTCATGGGATTCATATCCATGTACTCAACCAACCGTGGATTGAAAATACTTGAGAAAAAAAATCCCAGAAAATTCTAAAAGGAAAAACGAACTTGCCAGGCACTGAGCGCTACACTGAATCCATGCAAATGAAGTGATGTGTGGGCATACCCTGCTGTAACCTATATGCAAATGTAGGTTATATGCAAATATTGTGCCATTTTTTACAAGGGACTTGAGCATCCCAAATTTTGGTATCAAAGGGGGTCCTGGAACCAATCCTCCATGTTGACTGAGGGACAGCTGTACCTTGTTTAGTCTTTAGAGTGACCCTGTAAGAAAAGACAATAATAATATTCCCATTTTATCCGAATAGAGTTTCAACAGTTCAGATTTGCCCATCCACAGCAAAGAATGATATTTGATACCAAATTTGTCAGAGACCAGAGTCTGGGCTCTTTGCTTACCATGCTGGACATTTTAATTATGCGTACTTTCATTTTCAAAACATAGCCTAGTGTCTTGTTTTGGCATCCTTGAAATCTGGGCAGATTTCAGTCAAAAGAAATTAGAAAATGTATTATTTAGCAATATGATTTTTAAATAAAATACCCCTTCATAAAAATGTGGTTTACTTCAACAATCATTGAATAAGAATGCCAGGTGCTCTGATAGGTTCTTTGGAATACTCAGGCTTATCTAACTGGAAAAATGACAAATTGAATGTATTACTATGAAAAATGTTCTATAATAGTGGTGAGAATAAAATGTGGTGGGAGCAGAGTAAATGACTAATGAATTTCCTGTCTAGGAGTCTCCTCTGCTAGGCTGAACTCCCAGTGACTAGTATAAAACTATAACCGAGAGTACTAATAACTACAGGACAGAAGAGAAACAATTGTTCAGCCAGTGCTGCTTGAGGCCTTTTTGGTTTTGCTTAAGGAGCTTTGAATATTCCTTCTAGACTTCTCTGTTGAGAAAGAGAGCACAGAATATAGATCAGCATTAGATTGGTGGTGGTCCTTGCTTATGACTGGAAGAGGTTTCTTCTCTATTAACTGCATGTTTTCCTGCTAGAAAAAGAGATTGGTTTATACAGTTTGGTATTGAGCAATAGAAGTAAATGTTAAAGTAATAGTGGAAGGGATTAGAGTAGATAAGATTTAGATTATCTAAATATTTACATAACATACCTAAAGCTTTGCATAACAGGTCTTATATTTGGAGAAAATAAAACCTAATGCTACTTTTCAGAAAACCATGTGACATGGTTTTAGATCCCTGGTGTAATAAACTGGACTACAACATTCCCAGCTCAAGTTTGTTTTAAAAGAAAATAACACTTATTTATTGAAGTTACAAGAGCGTTAATAAAATTAGAAATCAAGCGTGTATTTTCTTAATCAGCAATAGAATGTGATATTGGTCTCCTAATTGAGTGTAGAATTTTTTGCCACTGTCCATTTTCGATAAAAATTTGCAGAAATCATAATCTTTTGTAATTAATAGACTGAAAAGAAGTTGCTTTGTAAGATATGGATTTTCTTCTTGAATGACTAAAGACCTTCTGAAATTTGTGAGGTTGGAATCCTGTGTTACCTGCGGCCTATATAATTTTCAACCAGTTACATTATATTGTGCTGCCCAGACCTTTCTGAATGGTTTTAATAAACAAGTATTTCCTTAGACATCGTTTACAAGATATATAGCAAGATATATAGAGGACTTTGTAACCTAATAGAAATAATATATTTGAATAAAACCAGTATGGAGTCCAACACAAATACCAAATAACCAGCATGCCACTTTCTCTTTAAGAGGCACATTTTTTTGGAAAGAGAAAAGTATGTGATTTATTTTTAATTCAAGCCGTAATGCTACCTCAAGTTCAAATAGTAAGCATATCAATAAATAATATTTGTGTTTTTTAGAAGCAACAGCCACCTTTTCAATAGCATTCTTAAAAAGATAAAAGCGCTCAGAAACCCTCTCAAGTTTGAGCTGTCCTGAGAATTGGATTCTTAGAAAAATGCAGCTTAATGTTAACCACATCTGATTACTTTGTTCATTTTTTTTTTTATTGTTCATCTGGAAAACTTGATCTGTTTTGTTTTAGAACATGCCTGGCATTCCTGGTTAAAATGCTCTATTTTAAATAAATTGAACTAGCCTGTATAATTTCTTTTATATTTAAGAGCCAGGATTACATTAGTGGCATTCATTTTAAAAATATATTAGTTGGTAATTTAAACTATAGTTTTAGGTGATTGAAAGCGTGGGCTTTTGGAGACAGAGCTTGATTTCAATCCTATTTCTAATTCTGACTGACTGACTGACTTTGGTCATTAGTTTTGGTTAATCACGTTTTAGGTATAGTGTTAATAGTCCATTTCAAGAGAGAACTTATCTCACAATAGTTTTTTATTTACTTTTATAGATCAGTGTACTGTTACCCGGACATACCTATTTCTTCACAAGTTCTGGTTCTTTAGTGCTGCATACTATTTTGGTAACTGGGCCTTTCTTGGGGTAAGTATGGATATCCCAGGGATGACTTAACCCTTGGTGGTCCATTTGTATCACAGCAATGCCATTGGAGTTTAAATGCATTACTTTCTGAATGATTTTAGATCTGAGAAATAACATACAGGTTATTTAAATTTACAGGTATTCTTGATTGGATTAATTGTATCCTGTTGTAAAGGGAAGAAATCGGTGATTGAAGGAATCGATGAAGATGAATCAGACATAAGTGATGATGAGCCCTCTGTCTATTCCATCTGACAGCCTCCTGCCTTAAAGGTTTTATGAAGCTCACTGAAATATCTTATGCATTTTTAAAGTGTTAAACTACATTAGGATGAACTGAGTAGCTTTCATCAAAAATGGGAGCATGAGTATTAAAAAAAAGTATATTTTTTATGTTTTCTGAAGTAACATTGTATCACAGATTAATAATTAAAATTGCTATAATAATACTATGTAAATATAAAACTACTGGCTTTGTGAGGGAATGTTTGTGGAAATTTTTCTTCTCTTGTGTATAGTAGTGTTGAATTGATTAAAAGTCTTCCAGAATTAATATTTCATTTTGTCAGTTTTTAAAAACAGTAAGTCACTTGTATCTGTGGCTTTGGATCTCTAGAGTAATGTGGAATTTTACAGTGTCTGTATCGGATTATCTAAAAATAATATTCTCAATATAGCTGATAAATAAACATTACTCCCCTATAAAACTTGTTTTCTATTGCCCACATTAAAGCATTAGTGCTATTCAAGTAGATTTCATGAAGAGATTTCCAGCTACTTGGTGCTCTAAGACTGTGGCATTTCAAGATGTATTATATTATTCATATATGAATCCGTTAGATATCTTACCACCTCTATAGTACTTAAGGCATATACATTATTGTAGGCAACTAACCTCAAAATTTGTACTCCACCATAAATAGGTGTATTGTCAAGAATAAGCTTGAAAAACATCAATTTACTGATCAGCTTAAGGTATATGACATCATATTTTGGCTTTAAAGATTTTTTTTATTATAAAGATTTAGAATTTGCACAAGGTACAAGGAAAGAAAGCTGTGTATTCTCAACAGGATATATTGAATACATTCTGGATGGTGAGAAATCATCACAAAAGATATCCCAGTTTACTAACATAAGCACCATAGAATTCAGAAAAAGTGCACATTATGATCCTTGAAGTAAAATATCATAAAGTTTCTGAAAAAGACTTAGGAATTAACCACCATGTCCCACATAATTTTTCTCTCCCTTAGTTTTTGTGCCGCATTGCTCTGTTTTGACTTTTTGTCTCTACATATACCTTCACAGCTTTCATGTTTGGCTTCGTCATGTGCCCCTTTAATGATATTCACCAAGATTACATTCCCTTCTGTTTGTTTTTACGTTTTCTTTCTGAACAATCTCATATACCCTTGGTTCCCATCTATATTCTTTCATAAGCTCCAAACTTTTACTTACCTATTAACTAGAAATTACTTTAATTGCAACATGTTGAAAATTGAAATTCTCATTTTTTCAGGGTACACCAGGCCTCCTTCTGTATATGTTTTTTAAGAAATGGCACCAGCACATACTGGATTGTCTAAACCAAAAATCAAGCAGACCTCCATATGTCCTGTGTATACCTGACTCATCAACCAGTCAGGTCATGTTGATTTCTATTTTTTAACTATCCTTCCATTTGTCCCCTCTTGTCCATTCTTACTGCCACTCACTGTGTTATGGACTAAATTATGTCCCCCCAGAATTCTTATGTTGATGTTCTAACCCCCCCAGTACCAGAGAATATGACTATATTTGGAGATAGAGCCTTTAAAGAGGTAATTAAGGTAATATGAGGCAATTAGGTGGGGCCCTAATCCAATATGACTGGTAATGAAGAGGAAGACCATGTGAGGACTCATGGACAAGGAGGCCATCGGCAAGCCAGGGAAGAGACCCCTCTTGGGAATCCAACCCTGCCAGCACCTTGATCTTGGACTTCTAGCTTCCAGAACTGTGAGAAAATAAATTTCTGTTGTTTAAGCCACCCAATCTGTGGTATTTTGTTGTGGCAGCCCTAGCTGACTAATACACACTGGTTCTTGTGTTTCCTCACTGGACTTTCTGCCAAGTGCCGACCCCTTTCACCCTCTCCTTGACAATGAAAATACAAATCAGATTATTTTATTTGTTTGCTGTGAGAAGTTTTCAGTTACTTTAGAAAGACATCTGTAAGCCATCACACAATGCATAAGGGCTTCCTGGTGTGTTTGTTACCTCTCTATCCAGTTTTCTGTGCCATCCTCACCCTGTTTATATGAGCACACTTAACATCTCAGTATTATCCAAGTGGCTCTGATTTCTGTCATCCCACTCTGTTGAACTGTTCCTTCTATCTACGATACCCTTCCCTTTCTTTTGTCTCCTAAGAAAATATTCTTCAGATCTCAACCTTGACATTATCTCCTTATGTACCCCATCCCTAAGTCTTCCAGGGTAGAGTTAGGTGCTGTCTTTTTCCTACTCAGATGGCACCCTGTGCAGTGTGTTGTCATTACTGCTTTCATATCTGCAAGGCCTTGAACATATATTTGTTTTTTCAATGTTATCCTGGTGCCTAGATTAGCTCCTTGCCTGTGGAAGGCCCTCAGTTGATGATTGAATTTGTTAGTTAGAAGCTTTAAGTCTGACTATGTGGTTTAAGCCTATATACACTGCCTTTAGATTAAAGGGTATGTATATTTAGCCTGTTTTAAGATTTATTTTGCTACCTAGATGTTTAGAAGTATTAGTATTGTCTTGAATGCTACATGTACATTTCATCTAGGAATAGTTTGTTTTTGTCAGACCAACTTCTTAGGTTTTTCTTTTGCTAGTTTTATTTTTTAAATATATATTTTTCTTCTTTGATTTAAACATTTACTTCCTGCCTATTTAGAAGTTAACTTTTATTCTAACCAAGTTTCTTTTCTCCCTCCCAGTCATATGGAATGACTTAACTTCATATTTTCATGAAGCTAATTTAAGTGTTGTGACTTCCACTAATGAACAGCATATATCCTTTGAAGTCCTCTGAAAATGCCTAATTTAGAGATCATCCGGAGTGATGGCTTTCTGAAAGGTCAAGGCCCTTACGTTCCAAGCAAACATCAAACAGTGATAAATTTATGCAGCCATGCAGCAAGGTAGTGGCAAATGGGGACTCTGGAACTACTTCTTAGTGCCACTATCCCAAAGAAAATGAAAATGCATATCACTTTAAAAAAAAAGAAGGAGGGTCAGTGGGAGGAGGAGGAAGAGGAGGAGGTGGCAGGAAGTCCAGAAAACAAGCAGCACAAGAAAAGAATGTTTTCAAGGTATACTAACTAAGCTCTTCAGTTAATGCTACGTACATAGTTACAGTAGTATATTGTCTTAGAATTAATGCCTAGAGCACAGTAGACATTGATTAGAGCACTGAATGTAAATATCAACCTTGACCATGTAAAGACAGTTGATAAAAATTGGAAAATTGAAGGAGGGGGTAGAATTAAGGGGTAAACGGTAATATCCTCATTTTACACAGAATGGGTGAGGGAGGTATGAAAAGGGAACTCAAGAGATGCTGTCTCTGGTAAAGGAAACAAAGAAGAAAGGTATGGACATATTAGTTATGAAGGTGAAGGGAACCGAGAGCATCAAAAACAGTAATACAACAATGTTGGGAGATGGTGGCAAAAGGGGAGCAAGGGGAAGGAAACTCGCAAGTGTAATTCTCTTTTATCGAAGAAAGTTGATATTGGGCCGGCCGAGTGGCGCGATGGTTAAGAACTGGCTTGGGATGCCAGAGGGCCCCGGTTCAGATCCCAAATATGAGGGCCGGTGACACTGCCCTCCACAGCTAAGATGCTGAACAACAGCTCAACCTGGAGCTGGGCTGCCGTGAGTGGCTGGCGACTGCGTAGACTGCAGCCTCTATGGCAGTGGGTTGCCATGGGCCACCGTGTGTAGCCAGCAGCCAGCGTGAGCGGC